CTTTAAGGCATGTTTGTATAAAGTAAATTCATCACATACATCTTTAGATTGTTTTTTATTATAATTTTACTAAGCTTATTATTTTGTTTTCATATTTGTCAAAAAGTCTAATAGTTATTAATACAGTTTACTGAATTTATTAAATTATAAAGATCAAGAAGGTGCTTATAAGAATAATGAGAAGGTAGAAGGAAAATATCATCTTTTTCATAAGTTACAGTTATTTGTCCATCTGTTTTTTTGTATATATATTTTCGAACAGCCTGTTTTTCATCATATTAATTGCCAAATGATCTAATAAAAAGTTTGACTTTATCAACTGTTTCAACAGATACAATATTTTTAGGCCAACAACCAATATTACCATGAGGTTTGGGCAACATTGATTTACATTCTTTAATCAAGTTACTTTGGTGTTGAATAATTTTTTTACTACACATTCAAAATGTATGCAAAAAACTAGTGCAAACTTTACCAAAGTAAGGAAGTTGATAGCTTCTACCAGGTCCCATTTTTTTATATAGGTCTGGATTACGAGTAGAAAGAAGTATTGATATCGAATAGTAACGTGTTTTCTTGTTTATAAGAATACTTTCTAATGCCAAAGACTCTAATAAAGCTAATAGAATTTTTTTACTACATTTTTTTTTTTACAAGTACAATACTCTTTAAGCTTTTTAATAAGATTTTTTAAGGTTACTAAAAGAGTTGTATTAGAATTATTAGGTATAGTTTCTTCATCATTTGTATTTTCTGATTCTTTATTACTTGTATTCTCTGATTCTTCATCAGAGTGCGAATCCTCATCTACTTCACTATGGTCTGATGTTGAAAAATAAGTAGATTTATCACAAATTTCAAAAAATTGCTCCAAATTTTTCAGAAATTCTATTACTAATTGGTATAAGTATAAAAATTTTTAGTTTTTATAATTACAAACTTAACTTTAATTACTTGTAAGTTAAAAGAATTAGATCCAAAGTGCTACATTTTAGACAATACCAAATATTAGAACAACCAAAAGTTCATTCAACTAAATTGATAAATTATTAATATCGGCGCTTCTAAACACATTCCTTTTAAAA